TGATTGGTACAACTTCATACCTGGCGCCTGTTAAGTAGAACTATTGTTCCCATTTCTTTTGGAAAAGGGGACAATCTAAATATGTATTCCAGACATTTTCTATCATTATGGAAGAACTTTTTTGACTAACTGTTCTTCCAAAACATTACGTGATGGTTATGGCTGTATTAAAGCACTCAGTTGCAAAGGTACACAAAAATTTAGTGGTCCAAGGGTCCACATGGCACTTGACTAACAATTGAGATCCCAAATGCTTTTCTCACAATCAATTTTTGGGGCCCCTAAGAACTCAAAATGTTAAAGATGGTTGTGCAGTTGTGTACATAACATTTATCTCTGCCCTCCATTACTGAGACCTTTGTGTCTAAAGTTCTGAAGCCTTCTCACCTCTGCTCTATGTGCACCGCTGTGGAGGCAGGAAACCATCAGTGAAATTCCTATTGATTTGTATGGGGACACAACTAAAAGTAGTACACTGCTTGGAGTTCTTTCAGTGTTATATTCATTAATGAAGATTCTCTCTTGAACAATTTTTTTTTAAAAATTGTGACATTTACATCCCTAGATAAAAATTATAATAATGATAATAATAATAAAATAATGTTAAACTGATAGCTATAACTCCACAAATCATTCAGATTTGTCTAACCTATAGTAATAATTTTGATATATAGCAAAGATTTTACTTAAAGGAGAACTATGCGGTGAATGAAAATCACTCATCCTCATAGTTCGAGCCGACACGTGACAATTAAACTGTCACACGTCGGCTCAATAGATCGTGAAGTGAGCGGACACATACTGTCGCTCGCTCACTTCTCGATCATCTCCCTGCAGAGAGCAGTGACTGTCACTCACGGCTCCCTGCAGGGATCCCTCCCCACTCTGATCCTCCAGTGCTGATTAGAGGAACAGACGGGGGAGGGGGCGGATACAGCTGGCTCTCCCTCTAGATATGCAGTGACCCTTAAGAAAACTATGGGGGAAAACACTGACCCCATAGTTCTCTTTTAAAGTATAGGTCCACTTTTGAAGTTTTGAGAAACCCCCATTATACAGTATGTTTGTTATGTGTTCCCATTCACACTGCATTCTTACTTCTCTAGTTGTTTCTTTGGAGCAGGCCTTTGGGCAGACTGCAAGCTATTCTGAACAATTTCCATGTGAAAGTGGAGAGAAAAACTGGGGACACGCAGAGGGAAAGTGTATTAAATAACAACTCTAGGCAGTATAAAAATTAACCTTTGCAGCGAGGCTACCTTCACATTGCAAGGGTGAAGTGTTCGATTTGGTCTAGGGTGTAAATTAAAAAGATAAACTCAATCCTTCAATCCTGCCTGGCTGCTAGACCAGTCCCCAATGCCTCTTCTCTTTTGGGCTCGACGGTCTAAGAACCCTGGACATCTTAACGTCCATTTATTTGCATTGTATGTGAGGACACTGAGGGACATTCCAAAGCCAGGGCGGAGAGGGAGAGGAGTGATTGGTCACTGCCATGGGAAGAGGATTGGGTGAGTGTATCTTTTTATTTTACACCCTAGACCAAGACCAGCACTTAGCCCTTGCAGTATGGGGGTAGCTCCACTGCAAAGGTTCATTTTATTTTGCCTGGAGTTCTTCTTTAATGTACAATGCACCTCCCAAGCCTTGAAATCATTAACCCTTTATGTAAGGACAGTGTTCTAAGGGTTAATTATGGTATATTATAACTCATTATTATAACTCATTACATAGAAGGAGAATATTTCCCTTTTTGCATTTTCAGGGGAAAAAAGCAAGTAAAAAGGTAAGCAGCAATTTTTAAGTTGTGCTATATAAATGGGCACACAGAACAAATCTAAAGCAGGTGTCCAAATTTGGCTGCAAAAGTGGAAATACACTTTAAAGCATATCTAAACACAATTACAAAAATGTAAGCTTAACAGGCTTTAAATGTGGTGGCTGCATTTGTTTTTTGTTCCCCTTTTATTTTCACCTGTTAATCCTTCAAATAACACACTTCCTGTCCCTGGGTGGTTATGGTCACCCACTCCTTTGTATCTATGGAGGGAGCAATAGTTGTCACCCAGGCTGCTCTTCTGATTTGGACTACACCGATGTCTTCCTCTTATCATCTCTATTACATCAGGAGACAGGGGAATTAATACATAGTTACACAGTTAGTCAGGTTGAAAAAAGACACATGTCCATCAAGTTCAACCTATAGAGATATGAAAAAAAAAAGCCTAAACAGAATGCCATGGCCACAATTACCGCCTGTTGATCCAGAGGAAGGCAAAAAAAACCCCATATAAACCATGGTTCAATTTGCTCCAACAGGGGGAAAAAATCCTTCCTGATCCCATAAGGCAATCGGATATTCCCTGGATCAATAATCTCTGATGCTTAATATACCTATAATAACTCAATATCCAATCATATTCTGTGCATTTCGGAATACATCCAGATTTTTTTTAAACAATTAACTGAGCTAGCTAGAACTAGCTCTTGGGGGAGTCTATTTCACATTTTCACAGCTATAACTGTGAAGAATCCTTTCCATATGCAAAGGTTAAACCTCTTTTCCTCCAAATGCAGAGTGCCCCCTTGTCCTTTGCAGTGACCTTAACGTGAATAATTTGGCACCAAGCTCACTATATGGACCATTTATGTATTTATACATGGTGATCATGTCACCCCTTAATCGCCTCTTCTCCAGAGAGAACAAATTCAGGTCAGCTAACCTTTCCTCATAACTGAGCTCCTCCATGCCTCTTATGAGTTTAGTTGCCCTTCGCTGCACTTTCTCCAGTTCCACAACATCCTTTTTGTGAACTGGTGCCCAAAACTGAACTGCATATTCCAGGTGAGGTCTTACTAATGCTTTGTACAGGGGCAGGATTATGTCTCTATCTCTGGAGTCTATACCCCTCTTAATACAAGAAAGTATTGTGCTTGCTTTAGAACTGCGGCTTTACATTACATGCTATTATTCAGTCTATGATCTCTACCAGAACACCCAGATCTTTCTCCATCATTGACTCCCCCAAACATACTCCCCCTTGAGTGTATGACGCATGCATGTTTTTAGTCCCCAAGTGCAGAACTTTACATTAGCTGTTTATAGAAGACAGCATGGAAGAAAGCTAACATTATTCGTGATTTCAGTTCTATTTACAGGAAGTGACAAGGAAAATGTATTTCTGGCAGGATCAACAGGTATTTTCTGTACCTAGCCTGAAAAAAAATGAATCTGAGGACTGGAAAGCTGCAAAATGTTACATATTTATTCTTGGGTTTAGAAATATTTGATTGGAATTGCCCGAAATAAAACTTGATGCAGCTGAAAACGAATATGAAAAAAATGTTAGATAATGTTCTGTGTCTAATTTAGTGACACACAAGAGATGATAAGCAGCGGATGTAGCTCTGTGACATCCTGCTTCACACTTCACCACATGTTAGATGACTGCCTGAAAATAGGCATGGATATGCTATTATGGCTGCAAATCCCAGTGCACCCCCAGTCTTTCATACCCTTGGCCATGTCACTGGTAACTGATATAATTTTCCCTAATGCACTAAATAAAACCACAAATCTGTCACAGATTAAAGCCTCCTGTGAACTCTCTAAGAAAATAACCAAGAAACAACTCTTACAAGAGCCAGGGATATACAATCAGCATCTCATATGGAGGCTGTTAAGCTTTTCCTCTAAGGACCCCCGTTTCCTGTTATGTGTTGATTTTTTTTTTTACCCCACAGATTTTTTCTGCTTTTTTAATTAAGTTCATTGAGAAAACTGTGGGAAAGTTTTGTTTAATACGTTATCTGGCATGCCCAATAAATGTCTTTATTTAGCAAAAAGGAAAATTACATTGACATGGCGATACATTAAGCATGTCTAGAATGCAGTAAAATATAATTTCTCCGGGCGTTCTTTAATGATTGTGTTATTTTTAAACACTATTACTAGTTGTCTACCAATCTACTAATAACCTGCATTTTTTATTTATTTTTATTATTTTAATCTTGCCTCTTAGAGTTATGCAGTTAAAAGTATGGTTAAAAGTATAGTTGTTTTTTTTTTACATTACTACAGAAGGTCAGCTTGCATCTTTTGTTGACTTATATACACCAGCACACATATACAATGTAGAAAATACATTTTGTATTAAACGTCTGTTTGACTTTTCAGTCCCCACCAAAAGAAGAACTCCAGGGGGAAAAAAAAAAATTAACCCGGTATTAACAAAATTATACCCGAATCTCACAGCCGCCTGCCTGTTAGAGCGTTCCCTCCAGCCTGTCTCACCCTTCGCTCCAGCGATGGAATGTCGCTCAGTGTCCTCACATCCTATTGTATATTGGACGCAAAGACTCACAGGACCTTAGACCACTGGAGCAGAGGGGGAGAGAAGGTTGGAAGAATCAATCTAACAGCCATCCGGCTGCAAGATTTGGGTGAGTATAACTTTAGTTTTGCACCTAGATGAAAACAAGCACATAAACCCAATGCAAGGGTTAAGAAATGTTTTTCCCTGAGTTCTTTAACCTCCCTGGCGGTAATCCCGAGCATGACTCGGGGTAATTTTCTCTGCCAGGAGCGGTAACCCCGAGTCACGCTCGGGGTAACATTGCAGAGCTGTCAGCGGAGTTTCCTTACCTTCTCCTGGCGATCCAGCGATGTCATCCGCTATGATCGCCGGCGAGAATGATCTATGTCCTCCGCCATGATCGCCAGCCGGCATCTGACTTCCTGGCTCCGTTCCCTGCGAGCAGCAGCGGCGCATGGGAGCGGAACTGGGCGGCAAATTCAAAAGTGAAACACACATAAAAGAGCTTATACAGTGTAATCTGAGAGGACTACACTGTATCACCTCAGATCTGACACTTGATCACTGTACAGTGCCCCTTGCCTGCCATTTTACTGTGATTTGTGCTGTCATTTGTGCTCATAAAATTTTTATAACATGGCATCAAAAAAGCGCCACTTTACTACAAAAGCGTTTTTGGACCAGTTGAGTACAGCGACACGGAGGTGCTCGCAGAAGTGAGCGATAGTAAGTCGTGGGGAGATTTGTCGTCTGACACTGATCTGGCAAGTGACAACGGCGATGATCCTGCACCTGACCTCAACGATGTGCGCACTTGGTGCCCTATTGATTGCGATACGGACCAGGTAGCGCCCCCAAGATTCCCGTTCACTGGATCACCTGGGATGAAGGTAGATGTTGAGCGTGACAACCCTCTGGCATACCTGCAATTATTCCTCACTGAGGAGGTAATTGAAAAAATTGTCACGGAGACAAATCGCTACCAAGAGCAGCAATCCGCTACGCTGCATGCCAGGTTTTCCAGAAGCAGAAAGTGGGAACCGGTGACCAAAGAGGACATCTGGCAGTTTCTGGGACTCATCATTCTTCAGGGGGTGGTGGGGAAACCGCTCCAGAAATGGTACTGGACCACCAATAAGTTACTGGCCACTCCGTTTTTTGGCACCGTGATGTCAGAATACCGGTTTTCCCTCATCATGAAGTATTTCCACTTCACGAACAATGAAGAATTTAATGAGGCCACGCATCCTGCGCCCAAACTAAAACAAATCTGGGAGGTATGCCAAATGATTGTGACCAATTTCCAGCGGACCTACGTGCCAGAAAGGGACGTCAGCGTGGATGAAAGTTTGATGGCCTACAAGGGACGCCTAAGCTGGATACAGTACATTGCATCCAAAAGAGTGCGGTTTGGCATCAAATCCTATATGCTCTGCGAGTCATCCACTGGGTACATCTGGAATTCGGTCATTTACACCGGTAAAGGCACGAAGTTCAACCCCAGGTACAGCGGCTATGGGATGGCCACATCATCTGTCCTTACACTGCTGGAGCCATTGCTGAACCAGGGATATTGTGTGACCACGGACAATTTCTACACGTCTCCGGAACTGTATGAGGTTTTGCTACAAAACAAGACGGATGCATATGGTACCGTTAGGCCTAACCGACGTGACATGCCATCTATGTTTGCCAAGAAAAAACTAAAAACCGGAGAAATGGTTGCCTGGCAGAAGGGTAAGATGATGGCAATGCGATGGCGAGACAAGAAGGACGTGTGTCTTATGAGTTCTGTGCACAATACCTCCACTGCCATGGTCCACACAAAAGGTGGGAAAGATGTGCTGAAGCCGCAAGTCGTGATAGACTATAACAACACAATGGGAGGTGTCGACAGAGCCGATCAGGCAATGACATTTTATCCGGCTATGCGCAAACAACAAAAAAAATATTATAAGAAGATCTTCAGGCATCTTCTGGAACAATGCCTTTGGAATGCATATATCCTGCACAGAGCAAAGATTGACAAGCCTCTTGTTCATTCTGACTTTATCTGGAAGGTGGCTGAGCGGATTTTTCTCAACTACCAGACGCCATCAGTAGCTGTGAACAGACCTGGACGTCGTGCTGTTGACGTTGTCAATCCAGAACGCCTGACTGGTCGTCACTTTATGGACTACATTCCGCCAACCGCAAAAAAGGCAGCACCTACCAGGATGTGCGTAGTTTGCTGCTCAAAGAGAGATGGCAATGGAAAGAAAGTCCGAAAAGAAACCAGGTTCCATTGTCCTGATTGTGACGTCGGACTTTGTGCAGTCCCATGTTTCAAAATTTATCACACTCAGGATGTTTATTGAATTTTCTTTGTTTGACAAATTTCATTATTTTTTATTACATTATTGAATAAAATTATATTATTTATTAAATTATAATTCATGATTTTGCGTTTCAAACTTTATCACTTCTGGGATGTCTACTAAAGTCTTGCTTGGTCAGGTTTAAGTAAGTAATTACTAAGAATTGCAGGCCTACAATACATAACACCAAATTTCTATGCAAAAAATTGTACAGCTTTTGGCACAAAATTCCTGACATAATCATACCGCCAGGGAGGTTAAGCTGGTCATACACCTTGCAATCTGATTAAACAGTCTTTTTAAAATCTATCCAGTTAAGTAGTATGACAGCATACGTGACTACCTAAAATTGAGTGGATTGAGTAAAGGTAGAACTTCTACTATATAGTTTTGGTAGTGCTAAATGATATTAAATAGAGATTACACATTCAGATTGCAAGTTATATGGCCCACGTTCATAAATTATGTATGAATCTTTTAGGAAAAGAAGGCAAAAATGTGTTTTTCAGTCTGAAAAATCTATCTACTTACTAGATTTTGCAAAGGGCTTCCTTGCCCACTTTTATTGAATCCAACTCAAAAGTCCACACAGGTTTACCCTCGCAGGGGTTTCAAACACAAAGTACAGTTTTCTTTCTTCAGCAAAATAGCACTTACAAAGTCCCCCGACTTTAGGTTGCGTGTTTACCAAACACTCTTCACCACACAGGTGACACACTCCTCAGTCCGCCAGCCACAGACTGGTCCCGGGGTTGAGCCCTCCTGACTCCTGCAGAGACCTCCTCTGTCACCCAGGTAGAGCCTTGAACCTGACCCAGCATCCTCCTCATAAGCGCTGTGCACAGGTGCACCATCATTTGGTGCTGGTCACCACTAAAGCCCGAGCCCAGGAATGGAGATTTCTTCCCTCCCAGTTCGCTTAGAAATCTCTCTATTTCAGATCTTTGTGTACACAGCCAAGAACTGCACAGGCTCTTAGATTTACAGGTATGTATCATCTCTGAGTCATCATCACAGTTCAGAAAGTAGATTATAATGATCCTGGATAATGGCTGAACAAAGATTGCTCTGTCGTTGTAGAGAGCAAAGCAGATTAAATATCTTTAGGGACTAATGTAATCTCTGAGAGGCAATTAATACTTGTAATTGTTACATTTATGTACATATTACTTACATGAGCGTACTTAGAGTAAATAATATATTAATGTTAGGTCCATTTTACTTACAAAGTCCTATTGACATGTAATTACTCTATAATGAATATCTTAGGGTGTGCGCTTACACAGTGGGAAGACCTGAAATCCTTATACCTAGGGATGTACCGATACAGGGCATTTTCACAAGTACTTGTACTCGTGAAAATGCCCTGATTCCAAAGGCTGATACCGGCCCTTTAAATTTTAAACAAGTTCAGCTGCCTCAGGTCCCACACTTGCTGGCGACATCAGGCACCCTGCTGGGGACCTCAGGTAGCTGTTTTTGCCTCTTCCTACTTCCTGGCGCCGACACACGATAGGACTGCCCCACACCTGCCTATACAGCTCCGGAGCCCAGCACAAGCCTGATTCCTACCCGTTCAGCCCGGCACTCACCTGCAGAGCCCTGGAGAGACCCAAACACTGCCCTGGTGAGTCCCAAACACAGCCCTGAAGAGATCTGCACGCAGCCCTGGTGAATCCTTAGCACAGCCCTGGTGAGTCCAAAAAGCAGCCCTGGCGAGATCCACATGCAGCCCTGGTGAGGCCCACATGCAACCCTGGTTAAACGTGCACGGGGCCCTGGTGAGTCCCAAACACAGCCCTGGTTAAACCCACACACTGCCCTTGTGAGTCCCAAACTCAGCCTTGGTTGAAACCCAAACGCAGCCCTGGAGAGATCTGCACGCAACCCTGGTGAGATTTGCACGCAGCCCTGGTGAGAACCAAACGCAGCCTTGGTGAGATCTGCACACAGCCCTGGTGAGACCGCACATAGCCCTGTATAACACGCCCCTCTGAAGAAGCCCCATTTGCTGGGGGGAAACGCATCAGGGAAAGCGTGATCTAAGCTTCCCTCACAGCTCAAAAGTACCTGCCAAATTATAAACGAATGGTTGGCTTAATGGAATAACACAGAGCGGACCGAGCGATGGCTGCTCAGACTCAAAAGCCGTAACTGCACCAGAGGTCTGAATGCAGAGTGTCTTTCACCCTAAAGATATCTTTATAATACTGATCGGTGCGGCAGTACTATGAGGAGATACCCTCCGACATCACTCACGAGTGAGACAACACTAAGCCACTGCAAGCATTTCGGGACACCACCGGGTGAATACCAACTTCTCAAACAATCTGTTGTGATTCCTTAATTATTACAAACCAGCAGCCACTAAACGTATACTTACTACTTCCACGTCATCTGAAGTTTTATGAGAAACCATAATCTGGCTGTGGAATTTGTTCGGACTGCTACAATGAAACACCACAAGGAATGAATGACTATTGAAACAAGGATACATCAGTGTTTGATCTACTTTCAGTGTTTGATCTACTGTCACTGGCTGCTCGTCACCCGTGAAGGGTAACTATAATCATTGCCACCGTTTATCTATGCACATATGAGCTGTTGCAGGGAAGCTTTGAGGTTTTAAGATTTTAATGTTTGTATTGTGTGGTTTATTTTCTACTTTATTAAAAACTATTTGTGATATAACTATCATGTTACTAATTATTAACTAGACAGCTCCATTTTGGGATTTCCTTGTTGCTTGAGGGAACCTTGTTTGTTATAATGTTTATGGAAACCCAGGAGCCGAAATCATCTATTTTTTGCCACCCCATTCCCTTGTGTATAGAATAAAAGCCGTGTTTAACTACTGTTTAATCATGAATTGATGGGATCTGTAGTCCTCTATTGCTGGTTACCATTCTCCATTGCTGAATAATCAAGGATTGAGTTACATTTCTTCATAATTATAAAGAAACTGCCCTAAAATCATTAGGCTGTATTGTTTTTAAAATGTCACATGTCCCTTTAAGAAAAAGGATCGGTAATTGGTATGGGCAAGTACCTGAGGGAAAGTACTTAGTCTTAGCCTTGAAAAATTGGTATTGGGACATCCCTACATTTACCAATTGTGCGGCACTGACTAGGATGGCCAATGTACCTCTGTTTATCTATATGATGAGCAGAGGGTACCGTCAAGCAGGCACAACTGATTTTTTGTTCTGGTGATGTGTGGTCATGTGCTGACATGAAATCTATGCTGCAGTTACATCCTTCATATAGATCAGCCTTTCTCAAGCAGCAACCAACTTTTAGCTTAACCTAATATGTTATGGTAAGAGGCGCTTAGTGATGATTTACTAAAGGCAAATAGGCTGTGTACTTCCCAAGGCAATTTGTGTTTTGAAACAGAATTATCATTACTTAGTAAATGTGTGATTTTTACTTGCACATAATTTGGTGATGAAAGTCAGCAGAACTTCACCCAATTCACTTAGCTAAAAGGAAACTCCCCCCTGCAAAGTGCAAATTCTCTTGCAAAGTGAACAGCCTATTTTCCTTTGAATCAAACTCTCAGGATAGGTTGCTGCATTTTGCACATTACCATTGCATGCATTGAATAAGCCTGACATTACTGGGTATGGCAGTATATCAATTAAATACCATTGTTTAATCATTCTTTCTGCCTTCTGAGCTTAAAGAAAATGATAAAAATTGTAGTCACTGGAAAACTAGGACACGTGGGAACCTTAGCGATGATAGATCATGCAACATAAAACCCAAATACTCTGGAGAGCTAAGAAAATAAATCATTTTCTCCTCACCCGTACGCGCAGTTAATCAGTTCATAAGCTAGAAAGAGCTCAGCAGACTAAATAGGAGTGGTGGTATCAGCAATAAACAATATTTTGTTAGCTAGAATATTATATAAGTCATGCGTTCTTGAATTGTTCTTTATCTCTCAAGCCATGGCTCAATCAACTATACCTAATTCATCAAGATCATTAGTCTGTTTTGAATATGTTACTATCAGGGGCGTAACTAGAAATCACAGGGCCCCATAGCAAAATTTTGTATGGGGCCCCGTGATTGCTAGTCATGCCACTTGCAGAGCCCCAGCGGAGAGTGACCCTGCAGAGCCCACCATAGACTCTCAATAATGGGCTCTGCAGGGTCTGAGATCTCTTACCTGTCAGCGCCTCTGTGGTCACCGGGCCCCGACTCCTGTTCCGTCCCCGGGCCCCGCTTCCTCTGCTATCGACGTGCCCCGCCTTCTCTTACATCACTGGCCCCACCTGCTCTTAGGTCGCTGGCCAGTGATGTAAGAGGAGGCGGGCCCCGCCTCCTCCATTCCGAACACCGCCCTCATCTGCCGCAGCGGCTGGCTGTCACTGACACAGCTCCGCAGCGGCTATGAGGGGAAATGCGCCGTGGCCGCTGCTGAGCTGTGTCTGTGACAGCCAGCACCCCCACATGCCATAGCGACCCAGGCGGCCCTGGCCGGGCCCCCCTGTGCCCGGCCCCATAGCGGTTACTGGTTACTATCCTTGGTAATTACCAGTTCATGATGATGAGTATGAGGGAAAAAACAGTGGGTAAGGTGAAGGCAGCAGAAATAGAAATGCTACTGAGTTAGCATTTGTACCAGGAGAAGGGTTCGTTTTGATACTGATTTAAGAATACTCGCCTCTTTTTCCCCAATCTGTACCAATGGAACAATCAATAAGTGTTTATTAGCTTGTAGACAATTTATGGTCCCCAGTCTGAAAAACTCTTTAAGGAACAAAAGGTGAGATTGGCTACAAAGGAGCCCGGGGCTTTTTAGGTGCCACAAAATGGTACAATAACCAAATATTATTAAAAAAAAGTTTATTTTATTACAAAGATAAAACATAAGATAGAACATTATGGCCATTCCAAATAGTTCACAAATAGCAAAAATAA